AAAATCTATTAAAAATAATCGAAGCAGTTGCACTGTTGTAGAATCGCACTACGAATTAACAGCTGAACGAACCGAAATTTAACAGCAACAGAATATGCATTTTTAAAGTATTCTTGACGTTCTGGAGTACTGTCTTCTGGACGAAGAAGATTACCCAAAATTAGGACATGAAAGTTAACCTAAAATTTGTAACGCCAAGATTGTTGATATTTAGGAATTCCTGTTTTGCAAAAAAAATTTTCAGGACATGTGAAACTGACAGATTTTGGCTTATGCAAAGAGTCAATTGAAGGCGACCAGAAGACACACACATTTTGTGGTACCATCGAATACATGGCACCGGAGATATTGATGAGGGTTGGACACAACAAAGCCGTTGACTGGTGGAGTCTTGGCGCTCTAACATTTGACATGCTCACTGGTGGGCCGCCGTTCACTGGCGAAAATAGGTCTGAGTTATTTTCTAGATGCTGGAAAATTTCTGTTGTTCGAGAAAAGTCGAGACTTTTCTCACTTACAGTATTAGAAACTTTCATAATATTTCGCTCTCTCTGAGGATCGGAGATCAAAGAAGTGACCTGCCAGCAGTATGACTATCTTGAATTGTCTTTTGAGAAATAAGCGTAAGGTGGTTTGACTTGTGACATATCAGATCGAAGTGGAACTTTGTCTTTCCGCTAAAAGCGACAGGCAGCCTTCTGGCGAATCAATTCTACTGACTGTTTTTGTTTGCCTGTGGGTTCTTTTACGTCTCAATCAAAATTAAGGATTTAGGTGACAAATCATTTGTCATAAGAAAGCAATCGCGGTCTTTTATGTTACATTAAAGACAGTAATAGTACCGGAAGCAAATATCCGAAAGAGTCTCTAAATGGCATCGCTTACGCTCTCCTTGGATTCAGACGCTTGAATTGTTCTAGAAACGTGAATTTGTTTTTCAGAAAGAAGACGATCGACAAAATTCTGAAAGGCCGCCTTACGCTACCATCATTTTTAAGCGTAGAAGCACGTGACTTGATAAAAAAGCTTCTGAAGAGGCATGTTGAAACAAGACTTGGCGCTGGACCGGAAGATGCCAATGAAATCAAGCAGCACGCATTCTTCCGCTCATTCAATTGGAATATGGTCTTTGCGCGACAGGTAATCGCTTATTATTGCCATTACAATTATATGCATATTGTGGAAGTTACAGCTGAACCAGCTCTGATTTATAGTCTGGATCTTTAAATATGCAGCTGACAACTTTTTCAATTACGTGACCATTGCTGCCTTACCCTGTGGTCAGTAGTCTGCTGGCGATTCTGATACTTATTTTTTCTTCTAAAGAGATCACCAACTCATTGGTTCTTTCAACACAAACACTTGGCAAGGCTTTAGTTGTTTCAATATGCCTGTGGTATGCACTGAGCATCACAACTCAAGCGTTGCATCTGTTTGAATCTTCCATTTCTCATTTTTTTTCCCCGTCTTTCCTTCCCCCCTAGTATTTTGTCCGTCTTTTAATGTTAACATCGTTTCTGCTCTCCTTTCCCGCTGCTTCTTTGCTCCTTCCTTGTTTTATTTTTGCTTCTCCTTTAAGCAGTGCAGCCGTCATACTGACGAGTTCCTGTTGCAGTGTTGAGTTAAGACGTATATGACTTAATAGACCGAAATGCCTTACCGCATTCTTACCTCCTGAACTTATTGCTAGATTCCTCTTTTTACCAGTTAAGAATTCGGGGCTACCGTGGTTGTCGTATTTTAGTTATCGACTAGGAAAGAGCGTTTTATCTTACTAGTTTTATACTAAACGTAGCATGAATGTTCTTATCACTACTGTATTTGTGGCACTCTCTTATCTATGTTGTTATTTTTATAGTCGTACGTTCTCTACGGCATTTCCTTATCAGCTTCGTTACTATAATTATACAGGCAACTAACTGTGTTTACTTAATATCCTCATTATCTTAATCCTAAAAATGCTGCGATATTCCCTTTTCGTTGTTACCACTTTGACCATACGCATCATTATATTACAAGCATTTTTTGAGATTTTAATTTTAGCTACCTGTGACTAGATAGATTTGAGATGTTTTTTATTTTGAGACTTTTGCAGTCTGTTTGTTTTTAACAGATTTCCTGTTATTCATTTGTGGCGGGATGCTAAGATCTTATCGTTGGAGAAAAGGTCACTTCCATTACTCCCTTATCTGTGATTCATCTGTTCCCACTGCACTGGACATTGGTCATTTACCCATCGGTGATATACCTCATCTCTTGTCAGTCACCTGCCATTTTTTGTGGTGATTGGTGGGGAATATTTCGAGCGTCCGTTCCATGTATAATTGAAATGATAAGAAAAGGAATAGCACACATAGAAGGGATTTGCCAAGAAAAAGTGCGAAAATATGATGCAGAGGATGATAGTGAAGGAGCGTGAAATTTACGGGGAAGGATATCGTATTTTACAAAAACAGTTAAAAAAAATTGGCCAACGCACGGGCTGCCCGTGCGAAGATGCGTTTTTTGCAGAGTTCCCCG